TCTTAAGTGTTGAAACTTAACTGAAAAGTGATCTCTATTAAATATGAGTGGGAATAAGAGAGAGAGAAGATTTACAATTTGGGACATGCTCAAGCTGACTTGCCCCAAATGGTGGAGTTAGAAATGTGCCAGAGGATTCCAATTCAATCCCATCAAGGTGGCATGTACCAATGCCATCTCACTAGTCCCAGTGATCAATTTCTGTTCACAATTGATCATACTGATAGGACTAAGAATCAGAGAGATCACACAAAGAAGACTAGTGTCTGCAAATACTAACTGACAGAATAAAAATGGGAGAGAACGACCCAACATGGGAAGCGGGATACACAGCAGACTCATAGAATGGCAGATGTCCTAAACAGCACTCTGGCCTCGGAATCAGCCCTTAAAGCATTCGGATCTGGCTGAAGAACCCATGAGAATATTTCAGGCATGGAAAGCCAAGACACTCTGGCAAAAAAACAAACACACACCTAAATGAAAGATCTCTGCGAATGAGATCCCAGTGGAAAGAACAGGTCATCAAAGAAGGAGGTACCTTTCTCTGAAGGGAGGAGAGAACTTCCACTTTGACTATGACCTTGTCAAAATATGATCAGAGTCAGCGAACTCAAAAGGCTTCATAGCCTTGGCAACTCATGACAAGAGCCTAGGGTGATTACTTACACCATATACATTGTTAAGTCAACAACAGGAGTACTATGCACTTACTCCTCATGTAGGATCTCTGTCCTTAATGTGTTGTCCAATGTGAATTAGTGCCATAACTAGTACTGAAACAGTATTTTACACTTTATGTTCTGTGGGGGTGCAAACGGATGAAATCTTCACTTAATCTATGCTAAATTGATCTTCTGTATATAAAATTGAAAATGAATCTTGATGTGAATGGAATGGGAGAGGGAGAGCGAGAGATGGGAGGGTTGCGGGTGGGAGAGATGTTATGGGGGGGAGCCATTGTAATACATAAACTGTACTTTGGAAATTTATATTTACTAAATAAAAGTTAAAAAAATCAAAAAATATTTATTTTCATTTAATTGAAAGATAGAAATACAGGGAGAGGGAGAGAAAAAGAGATCTACCATCCATTGGTTCATTCCCAGTATGGCCAGGCTGAAGCCAGGAACTGTAAGCTTCTTCCGGGTCTCCAGCACAGGTGCAGTGGCCCAAGCGTTTGGGCCATCTGCTGCTGCTTTCACAGAGGCATTAGGTAGGAAGCTGGATGAGAAGTGGAGCATCTGGGGCTCAAACTGGCACCCATATGGGATGCCAGTATTGAAAGAAGGGGTCCAACTTGTATGCCCCCCCTTAGAGTAATCCTGTTTTAATTCATTACTTTCATTTGCATTGAATTTTTATCATGATCTAACTGCTTGACTTAGCAAATGTTCTCGAAATCTGTTAGTTAAATTTTTCTGAAAGAAGATGCTCTAAATTTTTAAATTTCACATTTTGTTACTTGTAGTCCTGGGTATTGTGAAAGTGCCTCCGCAACCAACAGTAATACTTAAGTCACCCAAATCAGGAATATCAGGGGTACTTAACATAAAATATCTTGGAAGGTACAAACACTAGGTTTTAGTTTTAGCTTTCATTGGAAGATTTCCTTGTTTTATCAGATATCAGAAAGTCCTTCCACAGAATTTTAAAATCCTCCTATAAATTAAAAAAAAGAATCACTCTTAAAATGTTAATAATTGTTTTCTAATTTCTGTGGTTTTGTATTACATGTTTTCAAGACATTCAGGTAGTATGAAATTTAAAAAGAATTATTAAGGATACATTCATTTCTTCCTGATCCTGTTTTCCTTCTGGACAAACACATAAATTCAAGCAGAGTCAGCTTTTTGCTAGTAAACAGCATTTTAAAGGTAAATCAGGCAATAGTTAGTGAAAGTGTAACTGTGAGATGATGTTGACAAACGAAGACCCAGGAAAATGTGACTAGTTCTGGAGTTTAGAAACAATTAGGAGACAATAGAGATGCTCAAGTTATGGCGTAGCTGCAGTTATTATTATGCTGCCCTTTGAAATAAGGAAATATGCTAGAAATAGAAAATCTGACAACAGAAATAGAAAAAACTTTTAAAATGAAATTTTTAAATCTGAATATATGAAAGAAAAATTTAGTGGTTCAGCTTAAAGGCATGACTGATGTGATAAATGGAATAGTCAGCGACTCTGCAAATAAATCAAGAAACTGTATCCTGTCTAAAGAAGCAAACAAATCCAGAATAGTAACACAGCCTTGAGGAAATATATAAAACCTAAAAGGTGTAATATCTATGAAACTGGAATTCCAGAATGACAGAAAAGAAAACGGGGAAGGAAAAGTTTGAGTAACATATTTTCAATTTACTTAATAACAAGAGCTGAAATTTTTCAAAGTGTGTCAAAAACAAAGGCTTACAGATAGAAGTTCAAAACATTTCAAATAGAATAGACTCCAAGAAAAGCACATATTTACTCAAGTTCTTGAAAGTTAAACATGAAAAAAATCTCAAAAGCAGTGGAGAAAAAAGCAAAAACCACAGAGGTAGATGATACTGATACCCATTAGGAAGTGAGTGGAATCGGAAGTGAGTGGAATGTCTTTACTGTGCTGAATGGAAATATTTCCTTATTTGAGCAAAAATATCTTTCTGAAGTAAAATTGAAATACAGGCTTTTCAATTTATTGGTATGAGAATTTAATGAAAAGAAATGGCAAGCTAAGTTTCAGTAAGTTGAAATACCACAGCATCAGAAGGAAACTGATTTTCAGAAATGAAGGAAAGCATTATTTATTTTACATAAGTTATTTATATATCAATTTGAATTTTAAAATGTTCAAGATGATTTTTCTTCAAAATTTCATAATATAACCACTTGCCACAACTGACTGGAAAGCAGGCAGACAGAAAATGTACTCCCATTCAGGAAAACTTTATGCTTATCTCCTTCAAGCAATGCATCTGGCAGTTGAAAACAGGTTGGAAAAGGCATCTATTTGCTATTTGCTACAAAATAATTTTAACACCACTTTTACCTCTCACAACACCATCCTGTGTGACCTGGGACTGTGGTAAAGAACAAAGTAGCACAAAGTATCTGAAATATCATGGCCATGCTTATGAACGTCTTAGCTGCTACACTGCACTTTCAGAAAGCAGTTTACACAATCAAAGCTATTCTAAAATAACAGCATAGAAACAAGGACGTAGACAGACACAGATATGGATCTCCCCAAAGCATCATCCCTCCCAGTTCAGTTCCTAGCATTCCATAGAGAGAAAGACTCTGCCTGAGTCTTCTGTATCTGCTATAACAGCTCAATGTAAAACCTGACCCTGGAGAAGATACTGTCTCAGAAAGTGGGCATCCACGGGCAAACCAGCAGAAGTGGAACGTGAAGTGTAGATTACAACATAATCCCAATGTTCAGTGTACATATGAGAAAGAAATGGTTCCTACGCAAGGAAATACCCTGATTTTTGGAAATATGCACTTATTTTGCTTTGGGAACATATAATTTTCATTATAGTCAAAGGCTTACTGACTTCTTTAAATAAAGAGTTCAATAAACAAAAATACGAAGGCCATAGTCCAGCAGGAAAACAGAAACATTAATTAAAGGAAAAGATATTTAACTTCATGCATACAATTTTAAAATATATCCCAAATCATTAAAACTAAAGAAATATATGGCTCCTCTCTGTTTGATAAGTGTTTAAAATAAATTTCACAAAAATATTATATTTGCAGCATTTGAGATAAAGGGTGCCATGGGACTGGAATCATGGTGTAGCAGGAAAAGCTTTTGCCTGACACACTGTCATCACATATAGACAATCGTCCATGTCCCTGCTGCTCCACTTGCAATCCAGCTCCCTGCTCTTGGCATGCGAGAAGCAGCAGATGATATCCCAAGTGTCTGGGCCCCTGCCACCCATGTGAAGACCAGGATAAAATTTATGGCTCCTGGCTCCTGGCTTTGGCCTGGCCCAGCTCTGGCTTTTGCAGCCATCTGGGGTGTAAGCCAGCAGATAGAAGTTCTCTCTCTGTAAATATGACCTTCAAAAATAAATTATTTTTAAAAAGACAAAAGTTGACAGCATAGGTAGTTGGCTTTTGAAACTAGGCTTATGCATACACCTATATAGACAGAGTAACAGAGAAAATAACCAGTAAGGCCAATGGGGGATAACGACACCAAGCTTGCAAATCTTGGCAAAGTGTATATGGTATATAGTATTCATTATACTAATTTTTACTTTTATAGATGCTCACAGTTGTCTTCAAATAAAAATAATTGTAAAAATCCATTGAAACTGGAATTAGTAAAAACACTCTCAAGGTAATGTCAATTGAGTGGACACATTAAATTTGTTAAAAATACTAGCTTGTAAAAACCACTTAATTAAAAATTCACTGTATTTTATGGCCATTTCACAAAATGAAGCCATTCTAATCTTAAGCATTACAGTTAACATGGATTCCTCTTGCTTTGCATTGCTGAGTGTTTTCTTTTTGTATATAAAACTGAACACGTGCATGTGAAAATGCACTTCCACATTGTATTTCCTAAACCTTGGCTTTCTTTCTCTTTCTGTTATGTCTTTCCCTCACTCCCTATATCTGCATTTATCTGTGTCTCTGTCTCTATCGCCCTTTATCCTGTCCAAATCAGGAAATTAAGTTTAGTTTTGATTTCTTTTTTTGGCAATAAAATAACAAAAACTTTTTTATTTTTAATTAACAATAATTATTTGTATTTTAGGGTATAGTGTGAAATTCGCAATACAAGTGTATTTTTAAAGACATTGTAAAAAGAAATTAAACAATAGGTATAGTTTGGTGCAAAAATTTTGAAATCCATGCACAATTTTTTATAATTTGAATTTTCATGAACCTTAAAAATTTATAAAAGGTATACAAATTTCATGATTTCATATATACAGATTTAGAAACATAGTGATTCTTCCCACCATAGCCCTACTTCTAAAAACACTTACTGTGGTACTGTTGTTGATGTCCACAGCAAAAACATGGAGAAGAATGCCTTTGGGGTGATCTTCCTCTTGGGCTTGACTGATGTACCTAATCAAATTCAATAATTCAAAATAGATAACTAATATTTCAAATCAATCCATGCTGCTAATATTCTCAATGCACATCATATAGATGGATTTAGCAAGATCAAAACATGAGTTGGAAAGATTTGCAAGAAATCAAAGCATGGCCCAGAAAAAGTAACTGGCTCCATGATGAGCAGTTTGGGTAGCAGGTGCACTCCATAAAATACTCTTCCTTAGACTGGAGGGCCTGGCACCTTCTCAGGTATGGATGTGGCAGTTTCTTTGATATTCCACAGAGTGACCTACAGTTATAAGGATTTAATACATGTTGAGAATACTGCTATCTCCAACCCATAGGTTGGAGAGAAGGAAAAGATGAGAGTGGCATCTATGGCTCCAAAATGATAAACAAAACTTGTGTATAAATTTGGGGACTTTACTTTTTATTTTTCAGGTCTATTATTTTTAGCTGCTTTTTAAACATTTTATTGAAAAATATGATACATATCAAGAAATGCACATAACTGTACAGATAACCAAGGTTTTTGTCCTCTGAGCACACTCATAACCAATACTCAAATTAAGAACAGAATACTACTAGTACTAAGAGAGTCCTCACTACTCAGGTGGGAATCTTATTTATAGAAGCTTTAGGGTGAAATCAGTAAGCATATATATGAAGATGGTTTTAGCTATTGTAAGCCTCAGTTTCCACAAGTGAAAAGGTGTTAAGTTGAACCACAGGGGACATTTAAGCTTGACATTCTATTCAAAAGTAAAAAGTATTATAATTTACTTTAAATTGTATTGAAGATTATTGACATTTGGATAAACATGTTGGACCAGAGACAAGAATAACCCTTGTAAATGATAGCCATATTTACTTCTTCATACAGATTCAGAGTTATAATATGTTCAATGAGTTTTTAGAAATTATAATTTTTATTAATATGATCATCTGATGAAAATCAGTTCATACTAATGACTAATAGTCTCTCGTCTATATAACTGCCACATTTAATATCCAAACTGAAGAGGTTTCAAGGTTCAGTCATTGAAGTACTTATCACTTAACTGCTTTCACAAAATGTGCAATAAACACACAAAGCTGACCATTTATGATGCTTGTTGCAACAACCACATTGTCTTGCTCCAGAATCTTCAATATCCCACAAGCAAACCCTGGGTGCCTGGAGCAGCCACTCCCCATTCTCTCCTCTCACCAGACCCTCTATAAGCTGCTCATCAGTTAATAGACATTCGATTACTAGCTATTTATGGATATTGTAAAGAACGCTGCTAGGATTATTGTGCACAAAGTTGAGTGTGAGTTTATATTTTCATTGTTTTGGGGCCTATCCCAAAGAGTGCCATGCCTGACTCATATGGACCTCCTATGGCTAATTCATGCAAGAAAACAAGCTTTGCTGCCATGGCTGCCACATGTTCCATTTCTACCTGCAAACCTTTCTCCACTCCCCTCTTCCATGGCTTCTCAAGACCTGGTTCATCAGGAGAGTGGAACCTTCATTGTCCTCAACTTGCATAGGATAAAGGTCAGATTCTAATTACTCCTTCTACTCTTCACAAGAGTGATGAACTTGCAGAGCAAATGCACTAGATGCTGGGCATTGTTGTAACTGCCTTGGATGTGTTCACAAGATAACAGGTTAACGTGGTGCTCACACTTCCTCCTCAGTAAAAATATGGGTCTTACCAATTCTCTCATCAAAGTCTCTATATATTCCCAAAGAAAACTATTTTCTTTCCCTTGCAAAATAGTGAAGATGTTAAGAAATGGGACTTGAAAACTTTTAGAGAAATCTCTTATGGAAAAGAGACAGGGAGAGTATGCTGCAGGAATGCGTTTCTACCCAATAAACATTGTATTTCTTTCAGCCAACAGTTGCATTAGAGAATAATTTCGTGAAAATTTTACTTGTCTCAATTTTAAAATAACCTGGGACAGTTTGCTAGAGTAGGATGAGAACTAGAGGAAAGTAGAGTGCTGAATCAGAATGTGCAAAGCATGTGTGAGACTCGGTGTGTGGTTGCTCAGAGCAGGGGTAGTGTTGCACGTTCCCTGTGAACACAAGAAGGCCAGCTCAGGTTGTTCAGGATAGAGATCCCCATTCCCTTTCTCATGCCAGACCCAAATGGGTATTGGTAAACTAACTCACATATGATGACTCAAACCTTTGATATGGATACTTACTTCTCTTCAGACAAAAATACAATAATCTGCGACACAACAATTCTCACAACCCATGGTTTGTTTGATCCAGAATCTTCAATATCCCACAAGCAAACCCTGGGTGCCTGAAGCAGCCACTCCCCATTCTCTCCTCTCACCAGATCCAGTATAATTTAATTGATAAAATTCAATACTAGTTCTTTAGCAAGCTGAATTGATAGTACAACAGAAATTTTTCCAAATTAAGTGGATTATTTAATAATATCTGATGAAGAAAGATCTATTGTCATAGTTAGCAAAAGAGAAAATACCCAGACCTTTAGGGTGGAAAATATTGGAAAGAGGCCCTAGAGCTTTGCTCTCTCAATCTTTTTCCCATGGTCCCTTAATACATACTCCCCAAATAGCCCATATAGTTCCCTTGGAAACCCTCTGCTGAAAAACAAGTGAAGTTACCCCTGAAGTGCTAGCTATTAGACTAGCCCTCTGTATGTACTGGCTCACAAAACCTTTTGAAAGAAGTACAAGGCATTTTACAAGTGCCTTTATTGGAGACCAAAATGTGAATTATTAGCATATTACATGATCAGTTTCAATGTCTTCCCCTTCCAGAAAGTTCGGGGAGATACTTAGCGACATTTTCTCTCTGTCATAGAAAATATAAGTTGACTGTGTCCTTCCATGGCTAATCTATGTAAACACACCTAAATAAAAGGTTTCCAGGTTTAAAAAAATCACACAAAACTGAGTTGTATTACTCACTGGAAGGTGGCCATGAGTTTCATCCTAGGCCCATCCAAGAGAAGCAATATTTTGGCATAGGTGTTAATCCTTTCCTCCATTTAGTTCACTATATTGTCAGTCAACTGCAGGTTGTTTGATGAAATTTGATGGTTAGTATTAAGGTTGTTCTTATTCCTAGAAAGATAAACAAGCAATACTCAATATTAGCTTGTTTCTGAAATATGATGGGAGCAGCTATGCTCCCGAGAATATCCCTGTTATACCTGCTACAGGGTCAAGCACAAAACATTCACATCTATTACCCCTCAGTGCATAGGATAGAAAATAAGATGAAATTTTACAAGGTGTATCCTGAGCACAGCTTGCCCAAGGAGGGTCTTGGACACATATGATCAAAGGGAACCAATAGCTGTAGATTGACTGGTCTCCTTCTCATTGTTGACTATGTGGTATGAACCACATTCTGTATTTTAAAGATAGTACTTTTTAGAGAACCGCACATTCATTTATTGTCTGTATCTTACTTCAAAAGTATTTGAGGAAAAAATAGAAAAAAAGAAAAATTTTAAAGATGTTTTTGAGGTCTGAATAAAAAAAGTACATGGCTTTTCATCAATTTTTTTTCTTAAGAAAGCAGACTAAGCATATATAACCTTGGATTAGAGGAAGTGAAAACACATGGAATCATAGTTTTTATAAGATTGTCTAAGGCATTGGTTATTTCAAATTTCCCTTAAGATTTGAATCAGATATTTTTCCTGTAGATTCTGGCTAAAACTGAAATACTGTACCTTACAGGCCAAACACAACTTAGAAAAAAAACACAGACTCCAGCCTGAGTTGAGGGGGTCTTACACATTAATGAAGAGCAAAATTCCCATTTGACACAGACAGGATGAATAATGTCTTCAGGAACACTGCTGTCTGGTAGGTGGTGAGCAAACAAACAAACAAACCAAGTACTTCAACCATGAATAACTGAATTCAGGCACAGATTGAGAGCTCAGAGGTAGATGTTGGCCTGGAGTCTTCAATAAGGCATGCAGCCTGCCAACCCCTTGACAAGGCTTAGGGGATTCTAAGCAGAAAATCAGAAAAAGCCTTGTTAAACATATAAGATACAGGACTGTAACAAGGAATTCCTGTGACTTTAAGCCACTAAGTTTCTGGTAATTGCAGCCACACAAAAAAAATCACTTGAGGATCATGGTAGAGCATAGGCTAGATTGTGTTGAATACCCTGTTAGAGAACTGTTGGCATCAAGGATACTGCTAGTGAGGGTTCAGAAGTTACTGAGAAGCACTAAAGGAAAAAAATTTAAAAAATAAAAAAAATAACCAATTTCACTTACAGAATATGTTAGGTCATTATGAACTTCTGGGAAAAAGAAGAGACTTGTTCTTGTAAACCAGACAAAGGGAAACACTTATTAGAAAATAGAAACTCTGGGACTGCTGATGCGGCATAGTAGGTTAAGCATCCTCCTGCAGAGCCGGCATCCCCTATGGGCACCGGTTCAAGTCCCAGCTGCTCCACTTCTGGTCCAGCTCCCTGCTGATGGCCTGGGAAAGCAGTAGAAGATGGTCATGCTTAGGTCCCTGCATACCTATGGGAGACCCAGAAGAATCTCCTGGCTCCTGGTTTTGGATCAGCTCAGCTCTGGCTGTTGTGGCCATTTGGGAATGAACCAGCATATGGAAGACCTCTCTCTGTGTCTCTTCCTCCCAGATAAAGAAATAAATATTAAAAAAAAAACAGAAATCCTGAGGAGAACTGCTTCCTGTAGTGATATGGAATGTAGGCTTCTTCAATGTCAAATTTGGATATAAGGAGTAGAAGTTCCCACGTAAATATTCAGAAGGTGGCCTCTTTCACTCTTGCTGCTTATGGGGAATTGAGAAGAGCAAGATACAGTGAAGGAAATGTTACTGAACAAAAAGAGACAGAATTTCAAGCCTTGGGAAAATCTCAGACTATCCAGACATAAAGATGTGATTATTTTTGAAGAGGATGTTTCAGAGAATGTGGCACAGATAAAAGGGTATGGTTGTACACCTTGTTACCAATGCTTCATAAAGATCAAGCAATAAGAATGTTCAGTCACACGAGGTTAGAAAGGATGAAAAGTGCGGCTCACAGATCCCTTCAAGCCAAGCAGAGGGATTCTAAAAAGCTAAAGGCATTGCCTCTCAGCCCTCTCAGGCCAAAGACAGAAATACAGAGGGCAGGACAGAAACAGAGACTGGTGCTCCTGTCTTCTATCCATTTGATACCCATAACCCTGGAGGAACAAAGTCCTTCGTATCAGCAGAAACACTTCCAGCTTGGACTGAGAGGAACAAAGTAAAGAATGAAAGAAGGCTCTTCAACCCCAAAATCCCACAAACAGAACACAGACTGATCCAATGAATCAGCTGCAAACCCATTCTACTATTCATGCAAAAGGAAGGCTGACACGGAAATAAGAGCCAAAAGAGCAGAAAACAGGACCAAGTCCCTAGAAGGCGGGCCCAAGAGATACAAAAAAGCTATACTTGAAGCAACCTTAAACAGTATTTAAAATACGTTACATACACACTCTATGCCAATGGACCATTAAAATTCAGTTTCCATGTTAATACCAATGATAGCATATAAGTAAACTATAATATGTAACCAAAAAAACTAATGTTTATTCACAAGTTCATGATGCAACAAAGAAAGATACCAAAAACTTTTTTGAAAAATTTATTTATTTTGAATTCAGAGTTACATGGGGGATGGGGGGAGGGAGAGAGAGAGAGAGAGAGAGAGAGAGAGAGAGAGAGAGATCTTCCAACTGATGGTTCACTCCTCAAATGGCTGCAACTGCAGGGGTTGTGCCAGGCCACAGCCAGCTCCTTTTGGATCCCCTGTGTGGGTTCAGGGGACCAAACACTTGGGCTTTCTTCCACTGCATTCCCAGACAGATTAGCAGGGACCTGGATGGGAGTGAATCTGCCAGGTCTCAAATGGATTTCACATGGGATGCCAACATTGCAAGTGGCAGCTTTACCAACTATGCCATAGTTCCAGCCCCAAAATAATTCTTAATCAGTAAAGTTCACAATAAATATTTGCTGCTAGTTCATCAGAATTAACAATGACCATGGATTGTTTGACAGAAGTGTCCACTTCATTTATAAAGAAAAAGATAAACTATTTTCCCTGATATTTTAAACCAATTTACATCTTTAAAACTTGGTATTTCCAGTCAATAAACCAGTGAATATTCATTCTACACAAGCCATTTTGCTGCACTCAGTAAGGAACACTTGATGAGTAGGATAGTTTGACTGATCAACCATTTAAAATACAATTTTCAAAATGAGAACCAAGACAATGTTTGGACAAACATGTGTAAGACAAAATAACCAAAAATACTTGTAAAGAAGTAATACAAGTTAGTTAGTTTTATATAGCATGAAAATGTAAATTACTAAAGCTTATGATGAATTAATTTTCCACTCTTACTTACTTGACCCTTTTGGAAAATGAAGTGCTAAATAACATAAAATGCTGGACACATCAAAAAGATTCCAAAGACAAAACCATTCTTGCTATAATTTGGTTGTGTTTTGACTATGTTCAAACAGAAGTCTGTGACCATACTAGGACAGAACCAAACGATATAGGCAAACACTAAAACTCATAACTTAGGGCAGGCATTTTCAGAGATTACAGAAAGTGTTTCTCCTGGAGCCACGAAAGATCTCTCTGAGAATACAAGGGGTTCTCTTGATCTCAGCAGCACTATATTAGGAACCTGATAGCTTTTTATAAAATCAGTGCTTAAGTTAAGAATTGGTTCCTATGACGTAGGGGAAGCAAGTCAGTGCATTTCCTGGGATTATCAGTGTGTTGGGATGATCTCAAGTAGTGTATGAAAATACTACCTTGTGTGGTGCAGGTTTGGATGACCTTCAAAACTCCTGGACTGCAGTTTGGTGGATGTGAACAGCTTTTTTCTTCACTCCTTGGCACAAAAATGAAGCAGCCTATATGTCTTGCTAGAGCACTATAGACATCCAGAAACATCAAGGATTCTCTAGTAGTCAGGGCAACTTGCCACTATGATGTCAAGGTTCTAAGGCTCATGCCATAACTGACAATCCTGCCATACTGGTTTTCCCATAATAAAAGCCCCTTCTTTAATTTTCCAAAACTTATCAGAGGTGAT